ATTTTTAACATGCTGTGTTTTCCTAACCAATCCTTCAGTTGTCTGCTCGTCTCCAATTTTGTTTTTGTTTTTTAACTATTTAACTATTTTTTAACTATTAGAAGCCACGTGGCCGCAGGCTTTTTGTCTAACAAGGCAGCCACTCAGGGCGCCCCGGCTACACCATCTCTCTTAATCCTCATGGCAAGCCCGCAACGTGGGTGCTTGTTGCTCCCGTTTTACAGGAGGGCCACCGAGGCTCAGAGAGGTCAATGATTTGCCTGAGTCACACAGTTAGAAAGGGGTTCAGCTAGCAAAAAGAATCGAGAACTTTCCAATTCCGATGCGTGAACACTAACCGCTGTGTAGTGTGGTATTCTGGATCGTTTCTTTGGGATAGGTTCCCAGAAGTGGAATTACCGGATCAAAAGGAGCTGGTTTGTTCTTTTTTTTTTGTTTTTTTTTGTTTTTTTTGTTTTTTTTTGTGGTACGCGGGCCTCTCACTGTTGTGGCCTCTCCCATTGCGGAGCACAGGCTCCGGACGCACAGGCTCAGCGGCCATGGCTCACGGGCCCAGCCGCTCCGCGGCATGTGGGATCCTCCCGGACCGGGGCACGAACCCATGTCCCCTGCATCGGCAGGCGGACTCTCAACCACTGTGCCACCAGGGAAGCCCTCCGTTTTGTTTTTAAGGCTGTTGACACACGTGCTCACAAACACTTTGCACTGATATTAAGGAGAGAAAGATGAGCTTCTGGCCAATGCTGCCTGTCACGCTCCCCCCACTGGTTCTTTTTGTGGGTTCCTCCCCCGATAGTTCTGTAGCCCTGCTCCACCGTGCCTTCCCCTCTATACAGCATCTCTGCATCCATCGTCCACTGGGTGAGCATTTACTATGCGCCTACGTGTTCCTCGGCGCATCTGATGGAGCCAGGGCCGAGGGTGCCCTCAGCGGTAGCTGCTCTTTATCTCACCCCCATATGGGTGTGTGGCCAGGCATTCCACAGCCCTTACAGGGACCTGAAACTCTCCGTGCCAGCCTTGCTCTGACACTGGGCTGGCCAGCTGGGGACTTGGCTGGGAGAACACCCCCCTTTCCTTCAGTGTCTGTGCCTCCTCCCTCCCTGTGTCTCTCACCTTCCAAAAGCTACGGGGAAATTCCATGGGCCTGGGTGACCCAGGAAGGGGACGAGTGGCCCATTTTTCTCAGGTTCCTGGCAAGGTGGCTCAGCAGTGCTTTCATTTTCCCCATGCTCTGTCTCCTTCACTTCATCGTCCCCTGGCATCTTCCTCTTGCTGCCCTAGCCAACATCCTGCCCCACTCTGCTTGGGACCAGCCTAAAATAGCTGCCACCTTCCTTGGGGGTGCTGGGTAGCTCTCCCAACTTCTTTCACCTCCCAGTCAGCAACCCTCCCCTCCCTCCCTTATACCTCTTGGTCCATAACTTTCCAGAATGTGAGGCTCAACCCAAGATGGTTTTCTGGGCACACAGGAGAATTTCAAGTGGTAAATGAACTGAGCATTAAATACACTGAACAAAGTGGTAAAAAAGGTATTTAATTATTTTATTTTCAATGCTCTGTCATCCTCAGAGATCATCTGATCTCCTCAAAGAGTCTCTATTTGATGATGACATGTCTTTCAATATTTCTAACTTGGCTTTATTTCTAGTGTACTTATTTTTACAATGCCTTTGTATTTTAGGCAAGCAATACAGAAAGCCCATTTATCTTGTTATCTTTTCTAGTTTTTCTGCATATCTACCTCTGTACCTAATCTTATATAGACGGAATCTATATAAAATTATGTACAATCATCTGTATATGTGATTTTTCTTAGTACAGCCTTTCATCTCTCTCTTTCACCACTTGTTTCTTCTCTCTCTCCCACCTCTCTTCTCCCAGTGGCATGACTCACCCCCAGCACCAGCAACATAATTTGCAGGGCCCAGTGCAGTATGAAAATGCAGGACCCTTTGTTCCAAAATCATTAAGAATTTCAAGATGGAGACGGCAGAGCATTAAACCAAGTCCAGGACACTTAAGTGCAGGTCACACGGTCACGGAGCTGGCCCTGCTCTGTCCTTCCTTTGAAGCCCTCCTTTTTTTTGGGGGGGTTGCCTTTTTTTGGCTTGCAGGATATTTGTTCCCCGACCAGGGATTGAACCCGCCCCCTTGGCATTGAAACCACTGGACCGCCAGGGAATTCCCACCCGCCTTCCTAATTTACCCATTTTCATAACTTGGTCTGTGTTCTTCCACACTTTCCTCCATGTCCACACAGTCATACCTGTTCGTAAGAGTGGTTTTTTGGCCATTGTTTTACAAAAGTTGTATCATATTATTTTTTCTTCTTTGTATCTTGCTTCCTTACTCAACAGAGCGTGGAAATCCCTCCAACTGGTATAAGCCTATTTCATTCTTTATAAAGGCTGCATAAGATGCCATGCTGTAAATAGACCATATTTATTCTGCAACTTTCCCAACAGATAGGCAACTCTTTCCAATGGTTTGCTGTTCAAAAAACCGCAATGTATACTTTTACGTTCGGGCATCTTTGCATTGTAAAGCAAATTCACAGGATAGGGTAAAGGCTCCTTTTCAAATAAATTTGTTGCAGCAAACGCGAGAATTAAATTTATAGAAAAGTCTGAAGCACAGGGCCAGGCAAAGGCAGTAACAAGGTCTGGGAAGTGCAGATCCTGTGCCGGGTTCTCTGTGAACCGAGGCCTGGATAGAAGGAGGCCTGCACACAGAAGTCAAAACACAAAAGCCAGTCTCCCTTGTTGGGATAGGGGACAGGAAAACACCTGTGACACAGGAAACAAACCCTTGAGTATATCTGGTATCAATGAACTGCCTCGGCAATGGCTGTCCTTGGAACTGGCGGCCCCTGCTCACTCTTTCATTCATTCAGTTAATCAGCAAACACTGTGTTGGGCACTCTGGGGGTATGGGGCTGACCCGGCCTTTGGCCCTGCCCTCCAGGGTTTTCTGATCTAGCAGAAAACATGTGTGCCTTTATGCATGAGAAATAGTTTCTCGGACCAGAGATAGGTATACAGAGGCATGTAGGGGCCCCCCACAGACACATAGGCAGTCACAACAACATACACACTCACATATACATGCAGAGACATACACATAATGGTACACACACTGTCACAACCACATACACACACCACAATCACACACACACGCACCACAGCCAGCATCCCAGTCCCTCCATTCCACTCCCCACCCCAGCACACGTAGAAATAATAACAACTGCACAGCAGCACTGGGACCGTTGCTGTGGGAACCGGGATTCTGAAATCCTGACTTGGGAGCATTTGAATCCTCTATGACATTAGCTGCAGAGTTTGTGCTCTGAATTCTGAGTCATTTCCCATTCAGGGGCTCAGGCTGGGCAGCCAACCAGGGAGCTGGTGAGGACAGGCAATTAAAGGCTTGATTACTTCTGTCTGAGTGATGGAGTAGCCCAGTTGGATGCTTGTAGGAGAGCTGTGTCTGCGGGTGTGTGTGTGTGTGTGTGTGTGTGTGTGTGTGTGTGTGTGTGTGTACGCTCATCTAGGTGTGAGTCTATGGAATATTCTCAGGTGAGGCTGGGACTGTATAGCAGTCATGCCTGAATCTTCAGCCCCTGCAGCAGTCAGGCCAGGTCAGGCTAGGCTGTGATAGTAAGTACATCTCAAAATCTTCATGGCTTAACACTAGAAAGGCTCACTTCTTGCACAAAACTCAAGGTGGGTCAATGTCCCCCTCCACCTTGTCTTTGCATCGGGAACCCAGGGCCTCTAATTTGGCCACAACAGAGCAGGAAGAGATGGAAGAGGCTCACTGCCTCTTACCTACCTTGGTCCAGCAGTGGGTACACGTCCTTCTGCCTAGACGTCAGTGGCTCCAACCTAAGGGCAGGAGAACCCAGAAGTGTAGGGGAGCTCCTTTATGAGCACTACGGTCCTAGCCACATCCCTCCTTTTATGTTTCTGCCAACAGAAATATCCCTGCCCGGCATGGATCCAATTCCTCAGAGACAGTTCAAATCCTGGCTTGCTAGCTTGCTAGCTGGGCACTTGCTAGCTGGGTGGTTTCAGGCCATGTATCAGCCAGGGTCCCAACAGGAAACAGGTGGCACGCTCAAAATAGGAGTTTGAAGGGGTCTCATTTAGAAAAGGACTATTTAGAAAGGCTAATGCAGTAACCAGGAGCTCGGAGCAGCTGAGCTGTCATCACCCTGAGCAGACAAGACCACAGAGTGGTCATTGAGACCCGGAAACAGAAAGTCAAGGAGAAGTGACCCCGTGGAGAGGACCAATGACCTTCAGATGAGGGCCACAACCTGCCCAAGGGATCCCACCGGGAGGGAACCAGGAGGATAAACACCACGACTTCACTCTCTTCCTCCCCTCCTCTCTCTGCTGCGACTCCCCATTGGCTGAGCCCAACAGAAGCCCAAGTGCCCTGGAAGATGCTGATTTAGTCGAAGCAGGTCAGCCTCCCAGGGCAAAGTGGACAGAGGCTCTGGAGGGACAAATGGACACAATCCAGCACAGTCAATTGATTTCTGTTCTCTGGGCCTCCCTTTCCTAATTTCTAAAAAGTGGATGCTAATACCTGCCTCACTGTGTTGTTGAAGGAAAATGGAATAACATGTGCAAAGACCTGGCGTGTAATCGGTCCTCAGCAAATGTTAGCTTCTTAGTGTCTGAAAGCACTTCGTAGTCCCATGGTTCCCAGCTCAGGATGCTCCAATTACCCTAAAGTCTGGTATGAGTTTCTCAGACAAATTTTCCAAACCGAAAATGTTTTTCCTGATATAATAACTTCTTCTCTAGGTGACGTACTTTCCAGGTATTTTGCCTCCTTTTAGACTCACCGAACTTTTGTAAGTGTTATTGCCAACAAATGGGGACTCTGGCCGAGAGCACTTAGTAACCCCTCCATGGTCCCTCAGCCAGTAAGTGGGTCTGGCCCCAAAGCCACAGCTGTTCCTCTCTGTTCTCCTCTGATTTCTGAGGATGCGTGCACGATTAGTAGATGGGGTGCAGGATGCTGCAACTCCAAAGCTTGAGAATTTCCCTACCCCGGAAGGAGGTAAGTACACCCAAGGTCGAGGACCCTGTCCTACCAGAGGCCCCATGTAGCCACAGAATGATCCAGAAAGTGTCCCCTTACCCTTCAAGGCACCTGTGTGCCCTCCAGGCCTGAGCTCACTCACGGCTGTTGCTGGTTAATTTCAGGTCACCCAAGTCCAGCCCCATCTGGCCAGCCCAACACCACCAGTGAAGACAGCCAGCTCTTGGAGCCAGGTGAGGAAACAATCTTGGGGGGCTCACAGTCAGCTTTCTGAGACCAAGTAGGTGGTCTGTGGGGGTGATGGGAAAGGGAAATGGGTTTTTATGGTACCAGGGAGGCTCCCTGACTTCAGACAACACTTCTCCTTCCTGACCCAATGCCTGAAGCTCCACCACTAGATTCACTTTGAGATCTTAGAGCTACCATCTTTGGGAAGCCACTGATGAAAGGTCATGCACATGTGGGCAAGGTATTCAGCGGGCATTTAAAGGGGATTTGTTGAGAAGACACTTGGCAGGAGTGGTGGGGTTCCAGCAGATGGGTCCTCAATTAACTCAACAGATATTTAAGGACCTACTCTGTGCAAAGTTGTGTGCAACCCTGGGCAAAAAGAGGAGGTGATTCCCCCAGGAGGGGCTCTGGGGAAGGGGGGACCACCATCCACTGAGGCCGCCCACCTTCAACCCCATCACCAACCCCATGTCCATCCTCCAAGGTTCCAGTGTCACAATGGCAGCCTCCATGGTAGTACCCTCAGAATAGCGGAGGGGCCTGGGAGAGGAAGCATGGCACCCACAGTAGCGGGGGGAGAGGGCCTCTCAACCCAGAACCTTGCCCTCCTTTCACACAAGGGTGACTCTGGAGACAGAGGCAAGAAAGAAGAGTCTGTTGGGACTGGACACCCCAGGGCTAACCCATCCTAACCTCCAGTCACCTTCTCCTGTCTCTAAGAAGGACCAAAGGGTCAGGGGATGAGGCAGCCCAGCCCCATTTTGCAGACTGGAAGGCTGAGGCTCAGAGCGGGTAGGACATGGTCCAAGGTCACGCAGCAGATCAGTGGTGGGACCCTTGGCAGCTGTCCGCCTCCACCTCCATCCCTGAGGTCGGCAGAATCCGAATCAGCTGAGGCTCAGCTAGGGTCTGGCCCTTCCAGGGGAGCGACTCCAGGTCCGCCTGATGAATGGGAGCAGCCGGTGCAAAGGGACGGTGGAGGTCTGGTTCCGGCAGTCCTGGGAGCCCGCGTGCGGGGCACTCTGGGACCTCCGCGCCTCCGAGGCCGTGTGCCGCTCGTTGGGCTGCGGCCGGGCGGAGCCGCTGGAACAGCCCGTCCCGCCGACCCCGGCGCTGTCGCCTGGTGCAGCCGCGGGAAACGCCAGCTGGGCCCCGAATACCACGTGGGCCCTAGCGCCCACCGTCCAGTGCAGAGGCCCCGAATGGCAGCTCTGCAAGGTGGTGGAGCACGCGTGCAGCAGCGACGAGAGGCCGGTCCAGGTCACCTGTGCAGGTACGAGCGGACCAACCCGCTCCCGCCGCCGGCCTCCTCCCTGTCCTACCTCCTAGTCCTTCGGCCACTGCCCCGCCTCCTGTCCCCAGCCCTGGCCACTGGACCCAAGTCTCGCCCTCCGGACTTCTACCCAGACCCACCACCGACGCGAATACAATTGGTTCCGTCACCGGAGGGCTGCAGCGCCTCTACCCGCTGGTACAGAAATATGCCACGTTCCCAGGATCTCTTAGCGCTGCCGCTCCCCTGCCCGAGACCTGCTCTTCAGGCTCCGCCCACCCGGTCTCTTGCCCCACCCACTAGTCTGCCGCTCAGCCTACCCCGCCCGCAGCCCTGAGCCGATTCCTCAGCACCGCCCACCAGGTTACTAGCCCCTCCCAAAAGGCTCCCAGCCCCTCCCACTAGGTATCCAGCACCGCCCCTGGGTCCCCAGTCTTGACCAGTTCCCCACCTCCGCCCCACCCCAGGTCCCCAGCCCAGACAGGCCGTGTTCCCCAGTCTTGCTCACTGGGTTACCCGCCCCTCTCCCTGGGTCCACAGCCCCAGGCACAGGTCTCCTGTCCAGTCCCAACAACCCTCCCCCTGACTTCCCTTCCTTTCCCTCCTTCCTCACAGCCACAAACCCCTTCTCCTCCTGTCCCCAGAAAACCTCGATCTGAAATTGGTGGGTGGTGGCAGCCCGTGCGAGGGCCGCGTGGAGATGCTGGAGCACGGACAGTGGGGTTCGGTGTGTGACGACACGTGGGACCTGGACGATGCCCACGTGGTGTGCCGGCAACTGAGCTGCGGCTGGGCAATCCAGGCCCTGCCCGGCTTGCACTTTGCCCCTGGCCAAGGACGCATCCACCGGGACCAAGTGAACTGTTCCGGGTCGGAGACCTACCTGTGGGACTGCCTGGGCCTGCCGGGAAACGGCTACTGTGGCCACAAGGAGGACGCCGGCGTGGTGTGCTCAGGTCAGTGGGCGATGCTGAACCACGGTTATCCAACACTTACTGTAGGCCAGCTGGGCGCCAGGACTGCAGTTAGTGCTGGAGAGATGGTCCCTGCCCAGGGGAGGTCATAGTCCAAGAGGGAAGATGAGACCCAGACAAACATAATCCAGGAGAGAGAGTGGCAAATGCCTTAAGAAAGGAAGCCAGATGGAGTTAAGAGACAGCAGGCAATCCAGAGCTGGAGGGCTAAGCCTGCCCACCTCCTGGAGTAGGTGACATTAGAGGTGAGGCTTTTTCTGAGTGGGAGTTGGTAACCTGGTTCAGAACAGCAAGAGGAGATGGAGGCTGGGAGGCCCTGTGGAGGCTGTTGGAGCCCAGATGAGGACAGGAAGTTCTGGTCCAGCCAGCGCTTCTCTTAATGTGCCCAAGAATGGGGAGGGAGGCAGGTCTCGTCCAATGTACATTCTGATTCAGTAGGTCTGAGGCAGGGCTTGAAATTCTGCATTTCTAACAAGATCCTAGGTGATACAGAAGCTGCTGGTCCAAGGACCACATTTGAGCAGCCAGGATGTAGACAGCAGCAGGGCCAGCTGGAGCAGGTGGGGCAGATGAGAGGAGGAATGCAGAGGCAGGAGGGAGAGTACACAAGATCTGGAGACCGATTGGCTCTGGGGAGTTTGCATTTGTGGGTCGGGGCTGGTGAGGGTTTCTGCCCAAAGGATCCTGACCTGACTCTGACCCCCCCCCCCCCCCCCACGGCACACGCCCTGCGCCGCCCCCGGACCAGGGCACGAACCCGTGTCCCCTGCATTGGCAGGGGGGGCCCCCCCCCCCCCCCCCCCCCGCAGAGCACCAGTCCTGGCGCCTGACCGGGGGCGCTGACCCCTGCGAGGGCCAGGTGGAGGTGTACTTCCGAGGGGTCTGGAACACAGTGTGTGACAGTACGTGGTACGAACCAGAGGCCAAGGTGCTCTGCCGGGACTTGGGCTGTGGGACTCTGGCCCGGGTGCCCAAGGGGCTGCCACACTCCCTGTCGGGCAAGATGTACTACTCATGCGAGGGAGGGGAGCCCACGCTCTCTGAGTGCTTCTGGCGGTTCAATAACTCCAACCTCTGCAGACAATCACAGGCAGCCAGGGTCCTCTGCTCAGGTATCCCTCCTCCCCCCCACCCCACTCCCCCCACCCCCAGATTTGGACTAGGAATTGCATCTGAATCCATAGCCTAAGAACTTATAGCCCAAGGAATACAGCTTGGGCTAGATCAGGAACAGCAAATACTGGCATAAGAGGGACCATTGCCCTTACCATGCCCAGGCAGACATTACTGATTAATCAGGGCATTCTTTTCCCCAGATCCTTGAGTCAGTCCCAGAATCATGAATCCAGTCTTTATTAAGGCATTATTATATGCAAAGCAGTGTTCCCTATTGACTGGAGCCGGCTCAGGAGATAAAACCAATTTGCAATCCCAGGGCTGGTGATCATCATAAAAATAGCATTAGGAGACACTAATAATATTAGCCACAGTGTCTGGAGCCCTAATCAGGTGCCAGGCATTGCTGGGCACTCAGTATATATTTCAGCAGAGCCTCCCATCTGCTCTATGAATTGACTTTCACGAAGTCTAAGATGGCATTGATGATGAGTCACACTGTTAGTATTCTGTGTACCATAAAGGACAAAAATGCTGCCAAAATAAACTCTTGAAGTGCCATCAATTGTAACGATAGATGTCATCACCCCGATTTCTGAGGTATTAAAACGTGAAAAAGCAAGAGCGTTAAACAAACACAGCATTAGCATCTCTATGGAGTTCAGACACCAGGCTATGAATTCCAGCTCTGCCAGTTACCAGCTGGGAGGCTTCGTCTTGTGAATATGTGGATGCTGATACCAGACACTTCACAGGGGAGTCGGGAGGTCAGATAATATCCACCAAGGGACGTTGTAGGCCCCATGCCTTACCAGTCAAATGATTATGATACTGATGAGACTGTCAGATTCCCACCTCCTGAGGCAGGTGTGAAGACCAAATCTAATACTAGGTGGAAGAGGGAAATACTTGTGTTCTATAGCAGATTATACAGAAGGAAGGGCTAATTCTTTCATTAGCCCTTTATTTAAACCAAAAAACCTTCCTGGCATTTAATCCATGAGATCCTCCTTATCGTGGGGTGTGGGAAAGACTCAACCATGGGCCCCGGTGGGAACACACCCCCAGTTGCAGGCCACTTGTCTGTCTTGTCCAGTTTCTAGCACAAGGCCTGGCCACAGTAGGTGCTCGGGCATGTGTGCTGAGTGAATGAACAGTGCTTTCTGACAGGTGCCCGGAGCCTGCTCAATCTGTCCACTTCTGAAATCCCTGCAAGTGGTCAGCCGGTCACTGTGGGTGAGTGTCCCTGGGGATGCAGTTTCTCAGAGGCTCAGGTGCGTGCATGTGTGTGTGTGTGTGTGTGTGTGTGTGTGTCTGCGGGAGGGGTCTGACGGTTTGTCCCCCATCCCCTACCTCCAGACAGTGAACTTGACTCCCCCCACCATCCCCGGGGCTCTCTGGCTGCTTTGTGCTCCTTTCACCTCGTCTGCCTCTATCATGTCAGCTCCACAGCTCCCTGAATCCTGATATTTCTTGGACAGGAGTCCTCTCCCCACCCTCTGTGAGCTCCTGTAGGGCAGAGGATAGAGCTGTAGAGAACTGGAGCTGATCCGACACCAGCCAGGGGGTTGGGGATGGCGAGGGCAACAGCCAATGTGTTTATAATGTTCTGGGAACCGGCCAGTGCTTTATAGTCATTATTTCCCAACCCTTTAATCTTCCCGGCAGCCCCCTGGGGGAGGTCTTCCCACAACCCTTACATAGAGATAGAAGCTCGGGCTCAGAGGGTGAGGTGATGGCCAGCAGTGTCGGCTGGAATTTGCCTGCAAGGCTCTGAACTCTGAATCCACACTTGGCCTGTCCTCCGCTAGTGTGTAGCCAACTCCTGGGGCCCAGCCCCCAGCTGTGCCTCTTGCTAGCTGTATAATGTTGGGCAATTCTTAACCTCTCTGAGCCTCAGATCCCTTGACTATAAAACGAGGCTGATAGAGGCTTCCCTGGTGGCACAGTGGTTGAGAGTCCGCCTGCCGATGCAGGGGACACGGGTTCGTGCCCCGGTCCGGGAAGATCCCATATGCCACGGAGCGGCTGGGCACGTGAGCCATGGCCGCTGGGCCTGCGCGTCCGGAGCCACAACGGTGAGAGGCCCACGTACCGCAAAAAGAAACAAACAAAACACAAGGATGATAATCTTAGTACTTCTCTCCTAGCATTGTTGTGAGTCTCCAGTAAATTAATTTTTATAAAGTACTTACAACAGGGCTTAGTACATAGTAAGCACTGTCTGGGCCTCAGTTATTCGTATTTACTGATTATTTAGTCCAGGCAGGGAGCCCCGTGGCAGCCCCGAGATAACCACAGGGGCTGGCCCGGATTCACAGGCTTACCCCTTCTCCTGGCTCCTGGCTCCCTCTCTCAGACCCTCTCCAGAGGTGGGTGGGCGGCTCGGGGAGGGGACAGAGGGGCACCAAGTCCTGCCGGGGAACCTGGCAATGGCTGGGGGCACGGAGAGGGTATGAAATGCTGGGGACTGTGCAGGCTGGAGGGCGAGCTCCTGCCAGGACCCACACACCCTCGCACACTCTCAATTGCTGAGGTCAGGGTGGGGAGCCACGTCGCCCTCAGAAGAGCAGAGCTGTTATGGACAGCCGGTCTCCAAGGAGCACACTTGGGAGCACACTGGGAATGTGGCCCACATTCACGCGTCTCCCCATAGCCCCCCACAGTCCAGTCTCTCCCTTGCACCTGCTTGCTGCTGCTAAATCCAGTTCCTGCCCCAGCCCAGTCTGCCCAATTTTCAAACAGAAAGGGAGAGGGGAGAAAATGAGGATGGGGTGGGGGTGGGGGTAATCTCCCAGAGGGAGCAGACACTGCCACCAGCCAGGGGGTCTGGGTGATCTCATTCCCCCCACCTCCTGCGTTACTGTCACTACCCTTCCTCCAGCTCTGTGGCCTGCGCACCCCAGGCTTTCTGCACTGAGCAGGATATGGTTCGTGTCTCTGGGATGATGAGCGTTAGGGCCTCATTGCAGCTTCCATCCATTCTCTGCTTTGAGTTCTTTTCAGCAGGGGTGAGGCCAAGTGGGAGGGGAAGGCAAGAAGTCACACCAGGGCTGCAGAGCTGGGAGGTCTGGAATCATGGCCCTCACCCCCGCCCTCAGGGCGCATGTCTGGTAAGAAGGACGCATCTGGGGCAAGGAAAGGAGATCTCGCTCTCCTGATGGTCTGTTCCCTGCCAGCAGATGCTCAGAGCCACCTTCTCTGGGGATCCAGCCTTGGTCTCCCCTGTAGAGAATCAGGTGCCCCTTGGAGGGCCGCAGGGCTGTCTATACCTTCATCACAGCAGGAAACTTACTGAATTGGATTGAGTCGGCTTGTCAATCTTCCCACTAGACAGAGACCCTCAAGGCCCGTGACACTGCCGTCATATTTGTCTCCCCAGGTCTAGTGCCTGGCACACAGTGGGTGCTCAATAATTGTTGAGCAGAGACAGATCTCCTGGCTTCGTGGCCAGGAGAAAGTTTCATTCAGCCAGTTATTCATTCAATACGCATTTCTCAGGCACCTACTATATACCAGGCACCTAAAAGCAGACAGGAAAATTCAAAAAAAAGAAGGGAAGAGGAGGATACGTCCAACAGGGAAGTGGGTCAGAGGCAGAAAAGAAGGAGAGGTGAGAATGGCAAGGAGAAGTCCATGTCCCTTCCTTTTTCTCCCTGATTTGGGGTTCTTGCTTCCAGAATCTTCTGTGACGGTGAAAATGAAGGACTGGGAATCTCAAGAGCTAATGCTTCTCATCCCTTGCATCGTTCTGGGAATTCTCCTTCTTGTCTCACTCAGTTTCATAGCCATCATCCTCTTGAGAATTAAAGGAAAATACGGTAGGTGCAGAGTCCCAGGAGCCACGGGAAAGGCCCAGGGATGAAAAGAAGCAGACCTGAGGCACAGTCCTCCCAGGGGGACATGAGCCATGGGGAACCTCAGCA